CGGGCTGGCCGCTCTGCCCGCGCTGCCCGCGGCGGCCGGGGCGGCTGCAGGGCCAGGCGAGCGGGACGCGGGCCCCGCCGCCAGCGCCACGCGGCCCCCGGGGAGCCGGCGGGCACTCGGCGGAGATGCCGCTCCCGAGCCCCAGACTATGATAAATATGATAATTTGTATAAAATTTGAATGGGTTCTTGTTTTCAGGGAGAATGCCTCCGATGATGAATGTTCATGATTTTCAGATAGATGGCTGATAAAAAGTGTATTGAATTGTTGAAAGCGATTTTAATTTTAATTCTCTACCTGCAGATGTCTGATAATAATAATGTCTCCTAATAAAATAGGAAGGTGTCAGTTTAAGCAGCAGTATTTCGCTTCACTTCATCCTTCCCATCCCCAGACTGTGGCAACATTAACCTCTTCTTATAAAAAGGCACATAAAATTATTATAATTACAGAGTTATTAATTTTAAAAAGAGGGTTAGCAGGATTTTTTATTATTATTAATAGAGCTCGCAGAGTACCCTGCAAGTAAATCCCCGAGTGAAATGATGGATCCGATTGCTAATTCTATTATTAGATATTGCCTAGGAATTGCCTTTCGGGTTTTTAATTAGAGTAATTGAAACTAGAAGAGGCGGGGCTAATTATTTTTATTTTCTCCCTTCGTTATTAGTTAAAAGTCATCGATATCGCTTCCCGCGCCCGGCGCCGCGCGGAGCCTCGCGACAAAGCGACAAAGGGAAGGGAGGCAGAGCCCGCGCGCGGGTCGCGGCTCCCGGCCGGGGCCTGCGGGGTGACCTGGGCCGTTGCGGGTGTGCAGGAGCCGCTGGGGACCCCCGCCCGCCTCCTCGAGCCCGGTATTTCGTGTCAAAGCCGCCACGACGGCAACGCCGCTAACAGGGAATCAGTGACCTGGCGGCTACACTCTAATTAGCGCCTCCTGCGACGGGGCCCAACGCGAGCCCGGGAAATCCGCCCGGACACGGACATGGACACGGACACGCGGGGCGAGGCCGCGCTCTGGGCTCCAGCCCCGCGCGGGGGGAAACGCGCGTTTCCGAACAACGGCGTCGCCTGCAAGAGGCCGGAGCGCGGCGCGGCGCCTGCAGCCGCTCTAACCCCGCGAGCCGCTTCTATACGTGCACAAACGGAGCAAGGCAGAGATCCGTGCGATGTATGTGCCCCAACACAGGCTGCATGGCCACGCAGGGGCATTCACCTCCAACACGCTGCACAGGTGCACCTCTCTAACGCTAAATGTTCCCTATCTTTCCCCAAATGAAATGGCTATAGGAGACAAAATATATAGAAATCAAATCCATTCGTTTCGAAACAGAAATTTGGGTTTATATCCTACATTTCCTTTATATTTCCCCAAATTCCTCTCCACGGGCGTATTTATTTCGTGTGTGCGCGTGGAGTTGCGAATATATCCTACATCTTCCAGCCACGCCGGGAACAGGGGAATTGGCGCCACGTCCAGCAGGAAGACAACTCGTTAGCTGCGCGGCTGTATAAAGAGCCCTGCACCGTTGCATTAAGCCCCATTAAGAGGGACTTCGCCTKCGGAGCGACAACACTGGCGTGCGGGGGACAGCGCTGGGGCCGGCGGACACCGGCCCCCTCCTTCCAGCGGCGCGGGGGGATTTGGGAAGCGGGAGAGGGGGAAAAGACATTTATTCAGGGCAATTAGAAAGCAGGTACCGCTTCAGGAATGGATTTATTAAGGGGGAAAGGAGTTGAAGTTATTGTTTAAAAAATGCACATAAACGATTCTAACAAAGTAGGGAAGCAGGAGCAGCTTGGCGTGCAAGGTATCATATTGGAAATGCTTCTGCTTTAGACCTCGGGATTAATCAAAGAAATCGGTGCAGCTGATGAGGAGTTATTCAGCAGCTGAGCTCTGGAAAACTGCATCCCTGCTTTCTTTATACATTTTATTATTTCCAATTGGCTTGAAAAATTAGGAGTGTTTAGAGAAAAGAAATACACATTTCTTCTTCCAGCGGGCTGGAAAGCTTCGATTTTTATTTTCTCTAGCTCTTCTTTCCTTCCCTTTCCGTTTTTTCCTCCTTCTGAAGTTGGCGGTGGGGGCCGAAGCGAGGGCTACGTTTGAGAAAAGGGGAACCGAACCTTCTCTTTTTTTTTYCYWWTYYTTTTTTYYYYTTTTTTCCCCCYTTTTTTKGGGGGGGAGGGGAGGCGGTGTCGCCCCTCCCTCAGCATCTGCCCGTCGAGTTGCGGCGGGACCGGCAGCAGCCGCCGCGTTTTGCCCCCTTCCGTGGTGGGGCGGGAGAAGGCACAGAGGGACCCTC